CTGCATCTACTTGAACTCATAGAAGTCAAACTGCTTCAAGGTGTCAATGAGGGTGCACTTGGCCAGCAGCTCTGGCCGGTACTTGCGATTGCCCTCACGACGGACGACAAAGGCAGTCAGGCCGGCCATGGACGCCTGTTTGGCCTTGTTTGGACTGTCCGTCAGGTAGAAGAGATTCGCCGAATCGCGTTCCGTCAGTGAGAGCACAATCTGCCGGTACCGTTGTGCCTGGTACTTGAAGCTGCCGAAGGCGTTGAAGCCACAGGTCAGGTGACGGGTCAGTCGGTCACCGGCCTCGCTGGCGCCCAGAAACAGTCGTTGTATTTCCCACGGACCGGAGGCGAAGGTGTAGATCTTTATGTGCAGCGGTGGACCGGCCCATCGACTGAAGCACTCGAGGACGTCATCGAAAAGCGGCGGCTGGAGGACCCGTCTCGTGTAGCCGTCATTCCACAGTAGATTGTTGATGCTCTCCAGAGGACCGTTCATCAGGTTGTTCTGCTTGCGGAAGGTCACGTTGGCGACAATGGCATCGACCACTGCTTCTCGAGCGTTGGCGGTGGAGAAAGGAGCTGGTGACGATGCCTCAGCAGCTGCAGTTGCAGGCAGAAGATCAGGCATCTGCGGGTGACTTGCCATCTCCTCCCGAGTTTGCTTCTCCAGCAGTGTCAGCCAGCTCTTCAGTTCGGCGTTTGGCTCGTCCAGATGTGCCATCAGGTACTCCTTGAGGTGGACGTCAGCGTAGGTGAGCAGGTCATTGCGAAAGCTGTACGGCGTAATAACGCCCCAGATGTCGGTGAGAATTTTGAAGGGCTGTCGCATGTGAAGTGTGCGTGGAACCGAGGATGGCGGGTTCGATTTGGCGACCTGCTGCTTCTCGGTGGGCTCTTTTGCTGGGCTCACCACAACCGGGCCAGATTTGGGAGAAATCAAAGGCAAATCGGGTGTTTTAGAGACCACTCGCTTACTTTCGCCATCATTTGACTTTTGTCCCTGTTCCATTGAAGCGATAGCAAGTGCCAGTAGATAAAAAAAATTGTAGCAGTGACATAATCAAACTTATTTGCTTTGCATAAAACAACCTAAAAAGTCGAATTTGTTACTCCACGTCACCAGTTTTCGAACATTGNTTGTAGCAGTGACATAATCAAGCTTATTTGCTTTGCATAAAACAACCTAAAAAGTCGAACTTGTTACTCCACGTCACCAGTTTTCGAACATTGTAGATCACACATTGTTTCAACAGACAATGACCACGTCTCGCATTGATTCACACTTGTTTCACTACTCACTTGTACCATCAACACACACCAGCATTCATTCATGATGGACAAGCAGCAACCGAACAAGCAGGAGGACAGCAAAAACGCCCTTCAGGTCGGCAGCAAGTTGGTGAAGACGGTGGAGAAGGGGCTGCAGATGCAGCTGAAGAGTGCCACCACGGTGGTGAAGTTACCGCGAATACCAATGGGTGCCGCGAAGGGCAGCAGCATTGGTCCCGAGGACTCAACGGCCAGTCAGGGCAGCATCAGCAAACAGCAGTCGGCAACGATTGGCCGCAGCAGTGTGGCGGCAGGGCGGAACGCCTCAACGTACTCGGCGGCCAAGTTCTCGCCGATGCCCGGGCTGGATGCAGTGGACAGCACCGTCAGCATTGGCTTCAATGACAACAACGCCGATCTCGATGCCACACAGACGCTCATCATTCGCGACGGCCCGGAGCTGTACAAGCGCATTCTGAGCACGGCAGTGGGCTTTGCGATTCGTTGTCCACACGGGAAGATGCCGCTGGCAAAGGTGAAGGACCACGTCGGTCACTGGCTGCCCTTTGCCTACGTCTCGGAGGGCGACAGGTTGCTAGACACGGCCGCCGATGTGTGCACCTTCATCGTTGAGGACCTTCAGAAGTAAGTCT